TAGTGCTCTCCGTCTCGGCTGCATGAGATCACATTCCTGCAGGTCTGTTGACATTCTCAGGTCGTTGTTGTGGGTCCAGCTGTTGCAGCATTTGGTCAGTGTCACATATGGGGGAGAGCAGGAGTCCAGTCAGCCTCGGCTTTCAGGGCCGGCAAAGCAGCCTGTAATTAAATATGTATAGAAAAAACAAAAACAAACAAAAAACAAAAACAAACGAACAGGAAAATGTTGTTGTGTTGGCTGTGTTATTCAGAGGGGAGACACACCGGGACCAGGCCCTGTGTCAGCCTTCTCTCCCCCTTTTTTTGTTTTTTGTCTCCCGATATAATCAACTCCTAACCCACCAAGTTGACAGGACAACACCGGTATATGTTAAAATTCTTAAGATCATGTTTAAAAGCCCAAAAAAGGAACTTTCTTTCATTCAGTAATCACTTTTATTAATCAATCAACAGAAAACATGTCACAATTTGACTCTTTTTACCACTAAATTTGTTGCGTCTTGCCTGGTTGGTTAGACCAGTGTTCCTTTTTTTTTTTTTAAGTTAAATTGTTGTCCTGCAACCCAGAGGGTTTCTTTGTCAGTAATGTATAGACTTCATCATTTAAGTATGTTAATTTTTCTTTAACCTTGCTGGAAAATCTTCACGTGTTCATGAGTGTAAGCTGTTTCTTCATTGCGTGTATGTGCATTTGTATAAAAGCAGGTTAATTTTATCTTTTCTCAAACTAGGCGTTACCTTAAAAGGAGCCTTTCTCTCAGATTTCTCTGCTTGTGTGTGTTTTTGTTTCACCTTTTTGTTGTGATGCTCCGGACGCCTTCCCAACCTCCACAAGTCCGTTGGCCCCAATTTTATGTGTTAAAACTTCTCTTAATTTCTCCTCTAATTCTCTCCTCGCTGCTGTCTTTTTCACAGCTGCTGATTCGTGCTGGGTGTGGTTCCCATTACCTATAATTTTGCTTCGGCCGCTGTGCTTGTGGGGGCAGTTGGTCCAGGTCCGCAGCTTCCTGTATTAACACACTAAGAGATTTATTTAATTTCATTTTCATCACTGTTAAACAGATAAGCAGGCAACACGCCTACCTTGACAGCGTAAACTGTACGCCAGTCTCCCAACACATTCCTCTCTCTACTCCTCCATAATTCTCCACTGCACACCTCTTACTATCTCTCCTTTTTATTTTTATTACACCACAGAGTAATACACCCAATTATGCCCGTCTATCTCCATGTGGCTCCGAATTCCCTCTTTATTCTAATTTCACACTCGTCAGGGGACAGGCACACAACAATTTCAACCACTGAAACGAGGAATTCAACCTTTTTATATTTCTTTACTAATCTAGACTCAACGTTTGTTCGCAAAATGTGTCTTGTTCTAGTCCGGAAATAAATGTGAACCCGTGATTACACGGTCGTTCCAGTGTTATTTCCGTGGCTATGCGGGGGCCCTCACCTCCCCAAGTCACCACCTCAGCACCCGGACGCCGCCGGTCCTGGCCAAGCGTCCCTGGACAGGAGGGTCGCTACTCCATAGGCAAAATGTTCCACAGGTACACTAGGCATCAACCTTTGATCCTAAAATGTGTATTTGCTCTAATGTCCTCCTAATCAAACACATTAACCGTCACTGTCACTGTGTTCAGACTTCACACACACAAAAAGCACACTCAGAGCGCGCCTCACCCACGGCCAGAGCGCGCCTTACACACACAGCGCGTTACACCATCAGTGTGACACACAGAGAGCGCCTCTCATCAGCAGAAATTTGCACAGAAACCTCTGAGCTCAACTATTAGATCTTCTTAAAGCACACTGCACCATAGACCAAAATACCCCTTTCTCTGCGCTTATGACCGCCACAACGGGGCAAAGTCGCATCATAAAAGTGATGCTTGCATCCCCGAAGTTATACCTGACATCATAAACCAGGTGTTGCTCTATGTACTTAAAATTTTACTTTGTATTATGACCGCAGCCCTTAAAACTCGACTGACGCCACAAACCACCGTCAAACCTCTGTCCAATGTACTAAAACTAGCACCAACCACTACTGCACTTCACGGCCGCACCACCGGAACACGCCGTATCATAAACCAAACCTACGGACGTGTTTCGCTCTCGCGTTGCCAGCGTTCAACTGCACCGTGAAGCCAGCATCTGCTTTTCCTTAAATCAACTTCTATTTCATAGCCGGCAAAAGCCAGGACGTCACTGACACCATAAACAAAATAAACAAACCTCGACTTCAATGTACTGAACTAATGGCCGCGTCTTCAGAATAAATTCTAACGTATTATTGCTACAGAAGCCAGTATTAGACAAAATTAAATGTGGAAGGTAAAGTGGCTGCAACTAGTCCAACGTAGTATGTTATTAGTATCTCGGTAGAAGCAGTTTATTTAACACACTGGAATTCAGCCTCAACTTATGTTGTTAGTATCTTGCGCCAAAAACCAGACACCGACAAATTTACTGTGAAAATACATGTGACTCAGCGAACAGATTAATTTGGAAAGCCCAATATGCACATTTGGTATTTATAATACAACAGGCTGTGCTTACCTTTCTGTTTTAGGCCGGCCTTCTGTTCACTTTGCCCCACGATCTCACCAAAGGCCAAATCTACACCTCCTCAGCACACCAAAGATCCGGGTCACACGGCACCAAGTTGTTGAAATCTCCCAATTCTTTGAATCTTTGGGCTGAAGGAGGGACAATACTCGGTGTATCAATGCTCAATCAACAATCATTTATTTCCATACAATTCAACAGTCAGAGCATTACAACGTCCGGACAGGAGAGATGCTACCAGAGGGTCAGGCACATGTCTCAAAATGGTGACGGGTTGCTCAGCTTTTTATAGTCTCTAGTGGCCCCCAGCTAGTCGTAAAAGCCAAAACATCACATTTTTTCTCTGTTACAGCGCCTAAGTTATGACCTCGGCAGTTGTTTCTCTGCTTTCTGTAAGGTGGGGGTGTGGAATGTGGTCTATCTATCTCCCCTGTCTTTAGACACAGAGTCTCCTGCTTACAACCTTCTCTTCATGATTCAACAATTAAGCATGTCAAGAAAACAGTGTAACACATTCCCAGCAGATCAAGGATACAGAGTGATGCACATTTATCTAATGAACTAATATGTGAATATGTTCTGTTAACTCAAAAGTATAATGAGAACTACACTACATATAGCTCACACACTCTATTTTAAAGGGTATAATGTGATCTACAGCAGTATTCTAATTCAACTACTTTGATTACATATATAAGGTAACATATAATAACAGAATAATCTAATAACAGTAACCAAAAACCTAATTTTAAATATTACTATAATGATGTTTTATGTTACATAAAATTGGTTTGTGGATTACTTAACAAAATGCTATGAAAACTATTACCATTTGTAGTAATTACAAAATATTTGAATGAATTCTTTGTATTACACCCCCTGGCATATGTTAATTTTGCTCTGGTTGTATACACGTTCTGTATACTGTTTCTCAATAAAGTTTAATAATAATTTTTTTAAAAAGGATCAAAGAGCGCTGTGGATCATTCTGCGCATGCTCAGATCATACATAATGAAATTCATTTTTAAATACTTTGCTATTTAACAAAGGTGACTTCCCTCTAACAAAGGTGAATTTTGCAACACCTGGTGGCGATTCACCGTTATCAACCCTCAAGCTCATGAATTGGCTCTCTCGCTTTTACGTTTATGATCGATTGCTACTGTTGTCTATCGCATATGTATTATTTGGAACCCAGCATACCTGTAAAAACAGAGAAACAGGAGGTATCAGGAACTACCTGGTGCGCCAGCTCTGCACTACTCTTCTAGCGAGACACCGCGAATGGGGATGCACAGTACAGTAGTGCAATTCATCCTGATTGGTGATTGGTCAAAAGTCTAGAGTGAAAGGAGAGGCTTGTGATTGGTGGAAAATGTGCAATGAAGAAGCGTTCTTTCATTCATTCAGTCTGTTGTCTGTTTTTTCTTCATCAGGTGATGTTTCCATCTCCTTTATCCCACCTGACACCTGTACTGCTGTCTGTGGTCTTCACCATGTTCACAATGTGTTATTTATGTATTTTGACTGGTTTACAATGACAGGACAGTAAGCATTATCAGTGCACATACAATTAAAGCATCTAGTTGTTATGCCAATAGTGATGATTATCCTTTGGCTCTTTTGAACCAAAACAGTTTGGAAAGTCCCCTGAAATCAACAGCAATTGAAAACAAATAGCTCTCTTTTCTTCTGTGTTATTATGATGTGCAATGACTATCCATAAGAGGAGTCTTTTATGTTGCCCCCATGAGACCATGTAATTGTTTTACTTTTATACTGGTAAAATGTGAAGAATTATTCATGCCATTGTACTGTCATTTACAGACAGGCAAGAAATTAAAGGCATACCCTGAACTCTTGACCCCCAGATGGGGAGACATTGCACTTTGCTGCCATGTTAGGGTGCACTTTTGCTATGACAGATTATGTTTGTCCTGTGACAAAGTATTTGAAGAAGTGTCAGTGAATAGTTGATTATGAAAATGGTGTGATCATATACCATGGCTTTCACAGTCACCAGATCTCAACCAAGAGCATCATGGGAAATTTGACTGACATAACAGATAGATAATAGCTCTGTTAGTGTTTCAGAATCAATTCCAGTAAACACTGAAGCTCTTGCAGAGACATGTGTTGTACAAATACTTTATGAACTTGACTTTGCCACCTGCTTGTACACATTGCTTCTTTGGTTCAGGTCTGTTATGTTTCTTCATATTTGTGTCTTTTAAACCTGTTGGCAGAGTATGCTATTTGTGTGTAACTTAATAAAAAAATATACAACATGTTTGTCTTTCTATAGATTTTATTTATTTATGCTTGTATGTTTTGTCAGTGCCTTTTGGACTATAGTGATGCTGATTCAAAGAAGGTCAGTAAGTCCAAGTCATTCATTCATTAAGTTATTCCACAACTCACTGTTACTGTAATACAAAACACTTTATTAAAATAAATGAAATGGTGAAACACAAGGACAACACTGCAAGCAATCAGTAAAACACAAAGACAGCACTACAATCAATCAGTGAACTTGATTCTGACTGTAATGTTTTTTAAAAGATCAATTGTAAAGATCAAATGGCACCACCAGCTTTCCCAGGCACTGTTGACTTAAAGGCGCGTGGATACCCTCGGCTTGAAGAAGCTTCTCTGCGTGAGTCAAGGCAGTGACTTGGCTGAGCAGCTCCTGTGGAGGTTTGGGGAAGACCGTACTTCTCACCCGAGAGTAACGTGCCTCTTTGGTTGCCATAAGTAGCGCCTGCTGACGATGTGCAGGGGCATCTGGATTAACTACCCGAATCGTCGGTGTCGCCATACCAAGACTATAAAATGGAGTTAAAAAAGGTTAAATTATGTATTCAGCGTGGCGTCGTGTACTTCCAGCTAAATCCAGGAGCGTCTTAGAGTCGATAACTTACTGTAAACATAAAAGAAATGCTAGTTTCCATAAAGAATAGCGGACTTGCCGGCTTCTTCGCTGTACCGCCGTATGTTGTTGTTTTGGTGACGCAACTTCCGCCGAGCAGACGATTGGTCGTCTACAGTGGGATTCGGCGCTCCCATTGGCCCGAGTCTACAGTGTCTACGCTCACCGTAGACTCCGGGCCAATGAAAACGACGTAACCGTCTACAGTCAGCGTAGACTTTGCACTACCGTAGACTCGACCGCCCTCTGCTGGCGGAACTTATATTGCAGCAAAATAAACACTAACAGTAGTTTTCCCCAAAAGGAAGCATGAAGCATAAAAATAAAATGGGGGGCGGGGGGGAGGCTGCAATTTTCATGTATTCATCTATATCATGGTGCCACACATGCCCAAAACTTAATTTAGCATATTAAATAAATGTGAATGACCAGAAACAGTTGTTTCGTAAAGAAAACTGCCCAAAATCAAAATATGTAACTCCAAAATAAAGTTTATTTCAAGCCACTGAGGTTACAGTGATCCTGAAATATATGTACATGTGCTTTACAGTACACAAGGCAGGTCAGTTCTTTACTAATGAGGCCACATATTACTGAATAAAGTGAATAATCGATGGATCTACGTCCATAAGCACATTTCTCCATTTGTTTACGTTTTTAAACCAGGTCAAAACATTTTTTTTTATTTTATTCTACACAACGAAACCAGAATCTGCACGCTTTTTGTTTAGAAAGAAGAACCGTTTAATCTGAGCAAATCCCTCCCGCCTTCCATTATCCCAGGACCTGAAGACAAAACTTAATTTAGCCCATTAAATAAATGTGAATGACTAGAAATTTTCTGATCTTTCGGTTTACAAAGTTACAAAACTCAGTTCACAACTACGCAGTCCGATCTACAAAAATTGCTGCACCCGTTTCCAATTCTCCTGCAAAATGTAAAGAAACGAGGGCACAAGACTTTTGCACACTGCCGTCTATATTAAAGTAAAGCTGGATTCATTCTCATTTAAACACAGTGAAGGTGTTGCTGGTCCATCAGGTAATAAATCACAGAGCTTACAGTCATCACATGGTTTCAGACTCCAACACCTCCAAATCAAGGGTTCATACGCTTTTTTCTGGCTCTAATTCAAGCACTTTTTAAGCACTTTCAAGGTCCATGTTCAAGCTTTCCCAGCACATGGCCAAAAGAACCCACAGAAAGCATGTTTCACTTTGCATCACCTCACTAAGACCATGTGAAAATGAAAACGAATCATCTTAGGTTGGTTTAAAAAGCCTTTCTTCCCCACAAAACAGGAAAACTGCACCGAAGATCACATATTTCAAGCACCCGTGTGAACCCTGTTTACAGATAAATACGGATTCAATGAAACTGCACATTAATCCCATAAACATGAAGCTCTGTCCTCCTACGTGACTGAAGGTTGATCAGTGACTAAATCAGTGGATACTAACAGTGAGTCCAGAACACACTTCCTAGTTGCCCTGCACAGTGCCTCAGGACTCCAAGGCGCAATTTGCTATTGCAATAAACTATTATTTATTTATCCACACTTAACAACTCTTGCACTTAATCTATAATAAAATGATGACTATAAATATAATGAAATTTATTTGAAATAAAAATTTAATACAATCAGTTTCTTAATGTATGTTCTTTAAAACACAGTGTGTGTTTATTAAATATCATAATTGTAATAATCCATAATTATGTGGATATGCATATTACATATATACACACAGAAGCAGGCAGGATAAGACTAGCGTCATATCTGAGACAGTAACCAGGTTCGGACTGTTTCTGAAACCTCCATCATTTTCATTGTGCAACAACACAGCAGCAGAGGACAATTTGATTTTGTTATGGGAATAAATCACTACTGGAAATCACAGGACTCAGATCAACACACGATCTGCTCAACGATCTGTGTTACAGTATTTTTATCTTTTATGAATATATGCCTTCAGCGAAATAAATATGAGTGTATTATGTTTAAATTTCCCTTATGCTTGTAGCAGTCAGAGGAACGTGCAAAACTTAATTATCATGAGAGCACACTCCCTGACTCCCAGCACATATAAAGCAGTTGTTTTTCTGTCAGTTTCTTTAAGCATATTCTAGTTATCAGCACATAGCAACAGAAGGTTTGCCATTTTTCAATTTAATTTATATATTTTATCTTATTCTTTCCCAGTGTGTTGTACAGTTATTTCATTTTTAACCTTAATTTATATTTTATTCCTTCCTAGTTAAATTTACCCTTTTAATTTTTCATATTTATTTCCTATCTTATTCATAGCCTTTTCCTTTTTTGTTTTCTTTAGGTCACGAGCAGTTATCCAAGCATTTCACTACATATCGTACTGTGTATGACTGTGTATGTGACAAATAAAATTTGAATTTGAATTTATAGATAGCGTACAAAGCATTAACCACAATAAGTTGTGAAAACCAGCTGTTATTGTTAGATTAAGTTCCTGGAACTGCATGTTCTCCACCCACGAGTGAAGGGCGTGCAGTTAAGTTCCTGCTTTATCTGTGTGTTTCACCATGTACCATGAAGGTATAAATAAAGGCGTAAGACCAATGCTGAACACGAGAGGTTTTTGGACAAAGTTTGTGTTCTTCATTCTTTAAGCACCGGTTTGAGTACCGTTTAAGCACCGGCACCGTTTCAAAAGTACCGGTTTGGCACCGGTATCGGATAAAACCTAAACGATACCCATCCCTACTCAGGGATGTTAACGTCTCCCCAGGAGACCATCACAGTGTGCTTCACAGGCTTGCGTGTGGTGTAGGTGCAGGTGCTGTTGCCATTATCCTTAACCTGGACATCCACAGAATTACCTTCAACATCCTGTGCAGAAGAAAAGGGATTAGTTCTATCAGATTTAAGTAGGCGCACTGTCGATTATTGAGAAAAAGGATTTTAAGTGCGACTCATAGTCCGAAAAATACGGTACATACAATATATTTAACATATTTGTGATCATATACAAAGCCAGATATACCTGGGCTATAATTTTCAGAGGAGCTTTTCCTCCTTGCTTGGCATCAACTGTGAGTTCACTGGGTTTTCCAACAGCCAGACCACTGCTCTGTAGGCCTGGACCGTACGCCTTAACCTAGAGAAAACTATTTTAAACAAACAATTAAAAAAGGAACAAGTCAAAGATCTACTATAGCCAAAAGATCATTTACAGACTATAGCGCTGTGAAAAAATATTTGCCTCCTTTCTGATTTCGTATCTTGTTCCATATTTGTCACACTTACACGTTTCAGATCAATAAATGTTAATATTAGACAAGAATGTCTAATATTAAACGGCAGTTTTCAAGGGGAAAAAGCTATCCAAACATACTTGGTCCTATATGAAAAAGTAATCGCACAGAAACCCGATACCTTATGTGTCACCTCTGACACCAAGAACTGCAGCAAGCGTTTGGTGCTAGAGGTCACATTTGGACTCTGGACCTCTGTGGAGTGTGCACATGATCTCATTACTGTCTAAAAATCCAAGGAGTGCTGAATCATTGAAAAATACACAGTAACAGGTGTGTAGCATCGCTAACTAGGTAGCAACAAGCCTCTAACACAGTGTGTGTATGCTAGCGGCTAATCTAGCAAACAAATGAACAGAGTGCTTTTAGGTGTTGCACAAGGATAAGATGATAAACTGTGTGTCTTTTTTATAATGACCTGCTTCAATTTACCTTAATCCAAGGAGTGCTCAGTGTGGGTAAATCTGCCATGAGCAGATAAAGTGGATGAGTGGGACTAGGTAGGTGTGCCGAAAACAGGCAACAAAGCTGACGCTGAAGAGTGTGCTGAGAACATAGTGGCGCCGCCAGCAGGTTTCCGGCTAGCAGGAAGACTTTGCAGTAACACCTCCAACATTGGCAGTCCCATTTTGTGAAAGCCAATAAAAAAATAGCTAGGTTTCCATGTGTCATTTGTGTGGAACAATACTGCACAACAAGCTAAATAGATTTAAAAAAACGAAAAAAAAATTGTTGAACAACAGAAGATAAATGTCCTTTTTTTTCTATTTTCTTCTGGCCTGCTGTGTGGTGCGCAGCCTTAAGAGGCCAGCATTCAGACCCCAGAGTTTAACGGCCAAGTTCGAGTCTCTGACGGTCCGTCTGCTATAGCGGGGTAGGCCGAGCGAAAGACGAAGCTCCGGGCTCCTCCTTTTTCCCGCTTTTTTTTTTCATTCATATTTATTTACATTTATTTAGATATCAAGCTGCAAGTAAAAGCTCAGGGAAACACTTTTAAGCCGCCCTTTAAGGTACCCTATATATGTCCTTTCACATCTTATCACTTCACACAGTGCTATGGACCAGTCTACACCTGCTACTTTCTGCACAAGCTTTTATCACACAAGACCTGCTGTTTACAGGTAAGAAATACAGTGTCAGTAATGTTAAAGTGGCTGTGTGGAGTAGCACAACCACTGCTAATATAACACTTTTCACATGCATTTCTACATATTACAGTGTCTTTTACCGTCTTTATGGTGCTAGCTTAAAGTCATGCTGTAAATGTTAGCTTGTAGTGAAACATATTCCGACCATGTTTGGACAGAAATATTGGCTTCTATCATGACTAGTTAACAGAGACATTAACTGCCCACGCGTTACTGTAATCCGATTACTTTTTTCAAGTAACGTGACACACTGTTTACAGCAGTGTGTCATGTTGTTAAAAAAGTGAGTGATGTGAGCACAGTTCTGACATATCAGGAAGTGAACACAGTGACTGAAGCTGTGTTCCCATTCATCCTTTAATCATGACAAAACGTGAGGAATCACACTGAGGTGAGACCTTGACAACAGACAAATCAGGAGCCACAGAGTGTCAAGTGTCAGCCCACACCAATGATAAGAAAGAAATTCATTTACAGACACGTGAAAAAGCAGTTTAAGCTTCTAGATCTGGATGATTACAACACATCATTATTTATTTAAAGCAACCCAAAATGCACAAATGACTATAACCAAGTACATCCTGTGATTCAGCAGCTGATGGAACCAACTTTAGCAGCAAAAACTTGAGTTAATCATTTTTTATTAGTGTTTCACAGCCAGAGATGGGCAGTAACACGATTACTTTTTCAAGTAACGAGTAATGTAAGGGATTACT